ACTATTTAGAACATTCATGGGAGTCAGGAACACTATCTCATTGAAGTATGCTTTCAAAATAACCTTGCTTCAATTAGGACTTTTGAAGGTTGTAATGTGGTCTGGTTCATGGTTTTAGAAAAAAGGATTTAAGGCTCAAAATATTTGGTGCCCACCCATTCTTCATGATGTTCTCCAACCCTATGTTCAGTTAATTCAACATGAGTGTTCATCTCTCAAAAGGATTTTGTGACGGTCAAGGAAACGACGAGGCTTTCAAAGTAGAAACCACCCTCATGTCTTCGTGTTTGTAGTCACCAATTTGTTCTTTGCTGAGTACTTTTCTTTGCAGTCCTTTTCTTTGCAATTTTATTTTCCCTAACTTTTGCCTGAACTAATTCTTTTGAATTGATAGTCCAGCGGGATGCCTTAATTTTGCCTAACTCACACGTTTTCATGTTTTTTGACTTAGCAGGCTTTTTCTTTTTCTCGATTTTTGACTTTTTGAACAAAATGTGTGACATTAGCTTGTCTTTGCTTGTTGAGAGGATTGTGATTGCCTCGTTTCTTGATGAATGATGGATAACATTGTGGTTCCACATCCTTTAGATTCATTATACATGAAGGATAGCCCTCGTAGTTTCTCTTCAAAAAACATCTTCCTTATGAATTTTGAACACTCAGTCAGATTAACTAAAAACTACCCTGCCCCAGGTTAAAATTCAAGGTTTTTTCGTATAGAAAAGAAACTTCTGCTTCAAAGGCTCAAAAGGGGTTAGCAGGGGATTATCTTCCTTATATCTCCGGTGTTTAGGGATTTGAAACAATGCTTGTACATCATCAGCAAGATTTTATCCAACAACATGCAACTAGAGATTTTGTGTTCTTTAGATCATCATCCTCCCTTCAATCTCTGCCTAGGCAAGAGAATGGGCAACAAGTTAGTATCATAATGCAAAAAGAAATTTAAAATTTGAAAAAAAATATGAGTGAAAAAAATGAATTTCTTCAAGACAAACATACTCATTGTATTAAGATAATCATTCAGATGCAAACAAGTTCTTACATGCAAACAATGTTTTGATAAACAAGAAAAATTACAAAAAGCATGAATAAGTTAATAATCTAGGAAGGCATTCCATCTGGACTTGAATTACCGAAAACATCATTCAAAACTCAAAGTGACCATCAATCATGTTTACTCTTTGGCACATGCTTGATTTGAACTTCAAAACCAACGTCCTTGAATGACAAGATACCACTTCTGACCAACTTCTGAACCTCGATCTTCAAAGCAAAGAAACCCTCCAAGTCATGCCCAGGAGCACCTTGATGAAAGGTACATGTCAAATCAGCTTTGTAGTACCAATGTATCTTCTCAGGAACCTTCGGTGGAGGTCGGGTCTGAACCAAATTCCTCTGCATCAGGATAGGGAACAACTCTATATAGATGATTGGAATTGGTTCAAATTGAGTTTTCCTCTGATTAGGAACTTGCTGATTCTGTTGATAAATGGGAGAAACATGGTGATTCTGATGATGATTATTTCTTCCTCTGGTTCTCTTCTTGGAAAAGTCATTATCAAACTTCTTCACACCATTAGCTGAGCTACCATCTTCATATAAACATCCCTTTCAGACATCTTCTTCTAGACGCACTCCCACATTCACCTTGTCAGGAAAGTCACTAGGCGCATTAACCATCACCTTCTCATGAGAGAATGATTTTAGAGTTTCAGTGAAGACTTTTATCATCGCTTCGTCCTTCCTAGAAGGATTGACTTGGGCGGCAACCAGAATTTCAACCAAACCAGTTAAGAACTCCACACTAGCTTTCAAATTAGTCATCTCTCTACGGAGTTCAGAAACCTCTTGCTTGATATTCTCCATTGTTCTCTTAGCGCGAGTGTTGTACTGGTGAGACCAAAGGAAAAATAAGACTCGGAAAAAGACCTTTGAAAGTGAAACAAAAAATGTAGAATGATGTATGATATGCAAAAGAGAGTTTTTATTTTATTTTCAAGGAACTCAAGATATTAAGTTGTAAACATCAAAGTATGAAGATAGAAGATGAATTTTAAATTGGCTCCAAACATTGATCAAGTTATCATCAAGATCAATCATCCATTTTGGTGGATTAGGGTTTTCGCCCTATCAACACCCAATATCCATTGAGCTTGACGAAACTTGTGATGTTTACAAAGAAAGACCTCCAAATTCCTTCAAAGTCAAGTGAAAAGGGTTTTATGGATGCATGAATGCATGGCTATGCAACAACCACAAGCAAGGTCACAAATAAAGTTGAAAGGTTCAACGTCACGAGCATGGAGTCAAGGTAAGGAACACCCCCAAGGTATGTACTAACCGTTTAATCTCACCTGTAGAACAAGGTTCTAAGAGTTCCCGGAGTCCACATTCCTCCTTCGGATATTACCAACGTCTTGATTACTCAATAATCAGCAATATTCTCAAGAGAAACTCATCCGAGCGTGGCATCGCGTAACAATTACTTCCGGATTACTCTGTTATAATCTACGCACTACACCTAAAAGGCCAAGATGGGTTATGGTTCTACGGTTCCCAAGTTCTCTGGCTCCCAGGTCGAAAATAATAATGTCTTCCCGATTACTCGGTAAACAAATATTACGTTCAAAAGGGCCTTCCACTGAGTGGGGGATCTCATGCCTCCTTCTTCGGGATTACTCCCTCAAAGTTAACATGACTATACCGCCCGTCCTATTGCTAAGTGTAACTTAGTCCGGGTATAGGACTTGTCCTTTGTAAAATCAAACAATCAAATAATGATAAAACAGATAAAACAAATTAGGCTTAACCCACTTAGGGATGGACCAGCAAGAGGTCAATCTTTCCCCAGCAGAGTCGCCAATTCTGTAGCGGTGAAAATCGGAGATCAAGCTATTAATTAACTTGACTCACAAAAGCAAGAGTCGCCACCGCGCTTTATTATTTCCAAGGGAAAAGGGAAAATAGCGAAATAAAACCCTAAAATATGCAATGTAAAATAATACTTAAAAGTAATAGAAATACAATGCGTTTTTTAAAAGAGATCGAGAGTTCGGGGGTTGGTTATACAGTGGGAAGGTATTAGCACCCAATGCATCTACGGTACTCCGCAGGAACCTTTTGAAATATCTGTTTTTGGTTAAAATTGTTTGTTTGATTAAAATGGTTCGTTTGGCTAAAAATCGGTGCTGGAGAGATTTTGAAGATACGACGATCTAGTGTCGAAGTTTTGACTTAAAAGGTGTGAGTTTGAAAATGGAGTCTTTTGGGAAAATTATCTTGAGTTTAGCAAAGTAGTAAACAAACAAAAAAATGAGAAAAAAGGGTATTCGCACGATCGGATGAGATGTATTTGATGACGTGAAGTCAACAAATTTAAATCTTTCCCTTGGAGTTAAAACCACAGACGGATAAATAAGCTAAGAGTATATCAAACCTTAGGTGAAAATAAATCACAAGCCGACAGCATCATCAAAAAACCTAATGTGAGATAATACTCCAAGCATCAGATAAAGTGCAAAGGCGGTGGATAAAGCTCACGGTGTCAGATAAGAATCCCTGCATCACAAGAGATATACCGACAAAATCTAACAGCACGGGAAACTTATGTGCGTCCGCACAACTTTCAGAAGTTACTTGGAATTAAAAATAAAATCACAATGCAATGAAAATAATATCTACATAGACGGAATTTATTTACCAATGAAATGAGTAAAATATACAGTAAAAAAATATTATGTACCAGTATATATTTACAGTACCAAATATTAAATCAAAATAGTAAGGTAAAAAGGGAATAAAGAAAAAGTATAAATGCGCTATGCGAGAACAAACGCTTGAAACAGTTCTCGGAAACCTTCACAGTAAACAAACTTGTTAGTAGCATAAGAGATATAAAAATGAAATTGCAACAATTAAAACATGTGTTAGTAGTCACGAAGTATAAAAATAAAATCAAATGAAATTGCAACAAATAGAACATGTGTTGGTAATAACAAAGTATAAATCGAAATGAATTTGCATGAATGCATATGAATAATTCAAAAACCAAAAAATCAATTATTCAAGTATTTCAATTCACAAATGAACTAAAACCAAAGAAACTCATGCTATTATTCAATCCAATATTCAAAACATGGAAAGTTGAGCTCAAAGCGAACTAAAGTCAATCTAACCGAATCCGGGAAGCAACAAAAATTCATCACAATTAACTAACCATTAGCATAAACATGCTATTGTTTAACCAATAACACTAACAGCTCAGCTCAGATATCTAGCACAAATTAATAAAAAATAGGAATAACAATGTCATCACATCCATTTTTACACAATTGTTTCAAAAATCTACCATTTAAAAGAAAAGAAAGACACCACCACTTCACTTTTATTTTCTAATATTATCAATTCATTTGAACATCTCAAAAACCGATTCAAAAATCAAACACAACCAATCAAAATCATCATCAATTAGTGAAACAAGTATAAACCCCATTTATCTTCAACAGAGTTTCAACATTAATCCAATCATGTTAACAACAACACACCATATTAATTTCAATTCAACAATATTAATTAGAAAGAATAAAAGGAAAGTGAGTTTACCAAAAGGAAATGAGGTGTTGTTGTTGTTTGAACAATAATGAAGAGAGTGTTACTGCATGAAGAAATGCGCAACAACGGAGGAAGGCTTCAGCCGGAAGACGCGAGGCAAACATCAGAGTCAGGAAGCTGCGATATCAGCCGCGGAAGTAGTGGTGGACGGTGTCGAAATTTGTTGAAGTCAGAAGCTGAGTGGATTGTTGTTGATGCGGACTGGAGAAGAATTGACGGTGGGAGTTTGTGTGGCATAACACTCGCGGGCGTAAGCCGCTACTTTTGGCGGAAGGATGAAGGTTTTATGGGTTCTATAGATGAATTAATGATGAAGCTGGAGGAAGTAGACGGAAGGTGGGTGAGTTAGACGAAGGTTCATGGATGGTAGTTTGATGGAGGTAAGCTCACAGAGAGGGTGGGTCGTGGAAGCTGTTTGGAGGGAGGTGACGATAATTGAATGGTGAAGATGAAGGGGTTATGGATCGATGAAGGTTGGGTGTCAATGGGTGTACAAAGGGAGAGAAACAATGAGTATTAAGGGTGGAGGTAGAGGGAGTAACGCTAACGGAAGGAGGTTGCAGAAGGTGGTAAGGAGTTGCTGGTGGTGGTTTAATGTTGGAGATGTTAGTGAGGATGTTGTTTGATAGAGTAAAGGAGAGGTTTACATTCGCCGGAGGTTGCCGGTGGCGGGGAATTGACAGTGAGTTGGAGTGAGTTAGGAAGCATTTGGTGTAGACATGTAGAAGGAGGACGAAGAGGATTATGAGAAGGAGAGAAATAATGGCTGCAAGCATGATGATGTTGTTGTTATTGGTTTCGTGGGAGAACATGTTCTCAGCGAGTTGACTCACTGAGTCCTGCTGGCTCGGCATTCGTAAGGGAAACTGGGTGGTGGAAAAATGGGTGAAATGGGGTTTGGATTGTTTTGGAGGAAAGGTTTGAAGTTGAAGTGAATTGTTATGGTTTTGTTAGAGGAGAATCCTTGTATTCAAGTTGGACAAGTGGTGGGAAAATGGAGGCTAATGCATGTGAGAATGAGGTGAGGGATGGAGGAACGTTGGGGAATGGATAGGAATGTGTGTGTTTTTGTCTTTTACAAAGAAAGAGCAAGTAGATTTATATAGACAAGTGAAAATAGAAAAAGATGATTTCAGTTTCAATCGTTCAATCGTATCCGTCCAAAATTATTTCAATTTTATCAATCCATAACTTATGCTATTAACCAATAGAAATAGAGCAAGGTGTAAATAATATATTTTGTGATCAAATAGTCCTTAAATGATAAAAATAACCAAAAAACTAAATGTATTAAAATTAACTCAATTTAAAATGATTTTTTTTGAATATTTTATGAATAAAAAATAAAGACCCAAAATGACCGAAAATGATAAAAAACGGACGAAAATTTATCCGAAAAAATAAAATGAACACTTTAAAATAATCTACATGTCACAAAGATTAAAGAAAAAAATATTCAAGAAGTCAAAAATCAAAAATAAAATAATAATAAAAATATCAGACTAAACAGACGTTTACGGTTAAATACGAGGCTTCAAACTGTACCGAGAAAATAAAGCGAGCATACCGTCATAATCTACGCGAGACGCAGATTCATAGAATGATCGGTAAAAAGTGAAAACTTGAAATATTTTTTCTCGCTAATTTTTGTATAGTGTCGAGTCGCATTTAACAGTCTGTCTATAAAACCAAAATATTTTTATTATCGACATATAAACAACTTGGAGCAATGCAAGAAACGAGTAAAGAGATAAAAATGCATGAAGTGAAATGTCAAGTATTTTTTAACTAAAAGACGATGCAAACTTTGATTTAAATTGACTTTCTGGTCAACTTAAATATGACTAATGATGCAAAATGTGATGAATGAAGATATTTACTAATGATTGTGACTAAATAACAAAATATGATATGAAAGTGCGACTAAAACATATTAGGGGCGAACTTTAGGGTGCAACAGTTGTGCCTTGATGAATCAGTCTTCGAGAATCCATAATCAACCGTACTTTTGGCTTGGGAGACTCAAAACCTTAATTGAGGTGCGACACTTGATGCTCTTGATCCAGACCCGTCTCTGCACATGACACAAAAGAAAACATGAACATACACCTTTGTATGCGATTAGAAATTAGTGATACATAGGCTAAAAATGTTCAAAACACTTGACAATCTTCACATAGTCAAAGCTCGAAGGTGAGAGGTTAAAACCGACCATATTTCGTGACCTTGACTTATCTTAAAAAATGCAAAAATAAAAATGGGATCTTAGGTCAAAAATTGGGGTACAACAGATGGTAGCCTTGTCATTATGGAATATAGTATGCTGTCGAGATTATTGTTACTTTAATGTATGGTATCCTTGTCATTATGGAAGGTAGTCTGTTGTCGAGATTTTTGTTATTCCAATGGATTGTAACCTTGTCATTATGGAAGGTAGTCTGTCGTCGAGATTTTTGATACAACAATGGATGGTAGCCTTGTCATTATGGAAGATAGTATGTTGTAGATATTTTTGTTACTCCAATGGATTGTAGCCTTGTCATTCTGGAAGGTAGTCTCTTGTCGATATCTTTGTTACTCCAATGGATGGTAGCCTTGTCATTACGGAAGGTAGTCTATTGTCGAGATTTTTTTTTACTCCAATGGATGGTAGCCTTGTCATTATGGAAGGTAGTCTGTCATTGTGATTTCTGATACTGCAATGGATGGTAGCCTTGTCATTATGGAAGATAGTATGTTGTAGATATTTTTGTTACTCCAATGGATTGTAGCATTGTCATTATGGAAGGTAGTCTCTTGTCGATATCTTTGTTACTCCAATGGATGGTAGCCTTGTCATTAAAGAAGGTAGTATATTATCGAGATTTTTTTTACTCCAATGGATGGTAGCCTTGTCATTATGGAAGGTAGTCTGTCGTTGTGATTTCTGATACTCCAATGGATGGTAGCCTTATCATTATGGAAGATAGTATGTTGTAGATATTTTTGTTACTCTAACGGATTGTAACCTTGTAAATTTGTAAGGTAGTCTCTTGTAGATATTTTTGTTACTCTAATGGATGGTAGCCTTGTCATTATGGAAGGTAGTCTGCTGTCGATATTATTGTTACTTTAATTGATGGTAGCCTTGTCATTATGGAAGGTAGTCTGTTGTCGATATTTTTGTTACTACAATGGATGGTAGCCTTGTCATTATGGAAGGTAGTCTGTTGTCGAGATTTTTGTTACTACAATGGATGGTAGCCTTGTCATTATGGAAGATAGTTTGTTGTCAAGATTTTTGTTACTCTAATGGATGGTATCCTTGTCATTATGGAAGGTAGTCTATTGTCAAGAATTTTATTACTCCAATGGATGGAAGCCATGTCATTATTGAAGGTAGTCTGTCATTGTGGTTTCTGTTACTCCAATTAACGATAGCCTTGTCATTATGGAAGGTAATCTGTTGTCCAGATTTTTGTTACTCCAATGGATTGTAGACTTGTCATTTTGGAAGGTAGTCTGTTGTCGAGATTTTTGTTACTACAATGGATGGTATCCTTGTCATTATGGAAGGTAGTCTCTTATTGATATTTTTGTTACTCCAATGGATGGTAGCCTTGTCATTATGGAATATAGTCTGCTGTCGAGATTATTGTTACTTTAATGTATGGTATCCTTGTCATTATGGAAGGTAGTCTGTTGTCGAGATTTTTGTTATTCCAATGGATTGTAGCCTTGTCATTATGGAAGGTAGTCTGTCGTCGAGATTTTTGTTACAACAATGGATGGTAGCCATGTCATTATGGAAGATAGTATGTTGTAGATATGTTTGTTACTCCAATGGATTGTAGCCTTGTCATTCTGGAAGGTAGTCTCTTGTCGATATCTTTGTTACTCCAATGGATGGTAGCCTTGTCATTACGGAAGGTAGTCTATTGTCAAGATTTTTTTTACTCCAATGGATGGTAGCCTTGTCATTATGGAAGGTAGTTTGTCGTTGTGATTTCTGATACTGCAATGGATGGTAGCCTTGTCATTATGGAAGATAGTATGTTGTAGATATTTTTGTTAATCTAATGGATTGTAGCAATGTCATTATGGAAGGTAGTCTCTTGTCGATATCTTTGTTACTCCAATGGATGGTAGCCTTTTCATTAAAGAAGGTAGTCTATTGTCGAGATTTTTTTTACTCCAATGGATGGTAGACTTGTCATTATGGAAGGTAGTCTGTCGTTGTGATTTCTGATACTCCAATGGATGGTAGCCTTGTCATTATAGAAGATAGTGTGTTGTCGATATTTTTGTTACTCCAATGGATTGTAGCCATGTCATTATGGAAGGTTGTCTCTTGTCGATATCTTTGTTACTCCAATGGAGGGTAGCCTTGTCATTACCGAAGGTAGCCTGTTGTCGAGATTTTTTTTACTCCAATGGATTGTAGCATTGTCATTATGGAAGGTAGTCTGTTGTCGATATTTTTGTTACTACAATGGATGGTAGCCTTGTCATTATGGAACTTTGTCTGCTGTCGACATTTTTGTTACACTAATGGATGTTATCCTTGTGATTGTGGAATGTAGTCTATTGTCGAGATTTTTGTTACTCAAATGGATGTTAGCCTTTTCGTTATGTAAGGTAGTCTATTGTCGAGGTTTTTTTTACTCCAACGGATGGTAGCCTTGTCATTATGGAAGGTAGTCTATCGTTGTGATTTCTGATACTGCAATGGATGGTAGCCTTGTCATTATGGAAGATAGTATGTTGTAGATATTTTTGTTACTCCAATGGATTGTAGCATTGTCATTATGGAAGGTAGTCTCTTATCGATATCTTTTGTTACTCCAATGGATTGTAGCATTGTCATTATGGAAGGTAGTCTCTTGTCGATATCTTTGTTACTCCAATGGATGGTAGCCTTATCATTATGGAAGGTAGTCTATTGTCGATATTATTGTTACTTTAATGTATGGTAGCCTTGTCATTATGGAAGGTAGTCTGTCGTTGTGATTTCTGATACTCCAATGGATGGTAGCCTTGTGATTATGGAAGATAGTATGTTTTCGATATTTTTGTTACTCCAATGGATTGCAGCCTTGTCATTATGGAAGGTAGTCTGTTGTCGATATCTTGGTTACTCCAATGGAGGGTAGCCTTGTCATTACGGAAGGTATCCTGTTGTCGAGATTTTTGTTACTCCAATGGATTGTAGCCTTGTCATTATGGAAGGTAGTTTGTCGTCGAGATTTTTGTTGCTACAATGGATGGTAGCTTTGTCATTATGGAAGATAGTATGTTGTCGATATTTTTGTTACTCCAATGGATTGTAGCCTTGTCATTATGGAAGGTAGTCTGTTGTCGATATCTGTGTTACTCCAATGGAGGGTAGCCTTGTCATTACGGAAGGTAGCCTGTTGTCGACATTTTTGTTACTCCAATGGATTGTAGCCTTGTCATTATGGAAGGTAGTCTGTCGTCGAGATTTTTGTTACTACAATGGATGGTAGCCTTGTCATTATGGAAGGTAGTCTATTGTCGATATTTTTATTACTATATGGATGGTAGCCTAGTCATTATGGAACTTAGTCTGCTGCCGAGATTTTTGTTACACTAATGGATGTTATCCTTGTCATTATGGAAGGTAGTCTATTGTCGAGATTTTTGTTACTCCAATGGATGTTAGCCTTTTCGTTATGTAAGGTAGTCTGTTGTCGAGGTTTTTTTTACTCCAATGGATGGTAGCCTTGTCACTATGGAAGGTAGTCTGTCATTGTGATTTCTGATACTGCAATGGATGGTAGCCTTGTCACTATGGAAGATAGTATGTTGTAGATATTTTTGTTACTCCAATGGATTGTAGCATTGTCATTATGAA